AAAAAGCACTAGGCTTTTGGTCTTAGATGCGCTCACACGCATGCCGGTCACGCAGCACTCGGCTGCGAACCTTTCCAGGGAGCACTCTAGATCAGCTTCAGATGATGCCAATAAAACAAGGTCGTCTGCACATCTCCTACACTAATACACTTGTCGCTGGGCAGTTCCTGACTATTCTATCCATCTACAACAGAAACAGCAGAGGGGACAGGAAGCAGCGTTGGGGAGACCAGTGCTATATAAGCAAGCGGGCATAAGGATGCGTTGTAACGCATATTTTCCATTAAATATTTGTACATGCCATGAAAACAACTTCAAAGTCAAACTAATTCTAAACGTTGAACAAGTACCGTGAAACATGGGCTGAAATGTTGGTTGGTCAATCATCCGAATGACCATATTGCTGGCACTTGGTACAGATAAGCCGTATTTTATGGCATTCTTAGAACGACCATCAATAACTCAAACAATACCCGAAGTTTCTCCAACTTCCTTTTAACACCTCAAACGTCTCACCTCAATATCTGGAGGCTAACAATGACCAAGTGGAACTCTGACGATACTGAGACGAAATAAAGCCAAAGTTCAAGGCATCATCGAACGCGTAGCTCGGAAAGTCGTGGTTGTGCCTGAGAGAACAACGAGGTGTCCTTGTGTTCGTGAAACGTACGGTTGCAGTAAAAAACATCAAACGCAGCTGGTCGTTGCTACTCGATCAGTCGGCCGGCTGTTGATACTTTGCATGCAACGCCCCCGAAGACCAGAAATTCGCATTAAATCGCCTATCGTCCATTGTCGTAAATCGTATACTTTACATTACCCACGTACAAATGTAGTACCCACGTATGGCTTGTAGCTGCTCGCTAGAGTTGGAAAAATCAAGAGTTCAGGGGCGACAGGGAAGGAGAAAACCTCGTCTTAGATTAAGTAACAAGGTCCGTATTCGGAGCAGGAGCAAGTGGAGCCAAGCTACAACATTTACGTTACGTGATCCATTAAACAAAATTAATAACAGGTGTGTATTTATCCAAGACGAAAAGTGTTCCATCGATAGGTCAAAAAGAACGTCTCGAAGAATGGCTGAGCATTTACAAGTTGTTCAAAGGCTGGCACCTGAATTGGTCATTTCCGAAAGTTAATTCACCGCAAAAGAGGCTAGTACACATCCACCCACAAAATTAAAACATTCAAAGCCTTGCAACACCTCAAGGCGAAGAAAGTCTGTGGGGTTGATGCAATTCCTCTGAAGTCAATTATGTATTAACAAATGAGAATGGTAGAAAAGCTTCGTGCCCTGCTCACTCAAATATGGACCTGCAAACGTTTCCGAGGAAAACGGAAGCGTGCGGTAATTGTCTTTATATTTAAAAGGGGATCGGGGGACAGAGTGTTCCAATCATAGTGACATCACACTACGGTCAACTCCCAGGAAACTCGTCTGTTTCATAATCTTAGAAAGGCTCAGTGGATGATATCTCGCTCGAGATTTCAAGCAGGTTTCACTATGAGGCATTCTTGACCCAATCGAATTTTCACTCTGTGCAGAATCACTGAATAGTGCAGATGATTCCAACCGTCCTTGTCCTCCAATCTTCCCTTCCTCGACTTTGAGACTGCACTTGATTCACTACATCGTCCGAGGATATGCAAAATGTTGAAATGGTGTAAGATACCAGAGCATATGGTTTCTACTTTAGAAGAGATCTATGCAAGAACCATGTCTGCTCTCAAGGTTGAAGGAGAGCGATGCGAAAAATTCCCTATTAACTGTGAAGTCTGCAATAGAGAAATGCTTT